GAGGAGGCGGAACAGCTGATGGAGGCGGAGAGGAAGAGGAGGGCGGAGGTGGCGGCCGCGCTGGCAACAGCCAAAGGAAAAGTGAGTTCATTAGTAGTAAGTTTCATTTATGTTCAAAAGTCTTTGATTCAGTGACGACTCTTTAGATGACTCATGAACCAGTAACGACTCTTTAGATGACTCATTACCCAGTAATGACTCATTAGATGACTCATTCACCAGTAACGACTCTTTAGATGACTCATTAACCAGTAACGACTCTTTAGATGACTCATTCACCAGTAACGACTCTTTAGATGACTCATTCACCAGTAACGACTCTTTAGATGACTCATTCACCAGTAACGACTCTTTAGATGACTCATTAACCACTAACGACTCTTTAGATGACTCATGAACCAGTAACGACTCTTTAGATGACTCATTAATTAGTAACGACTCTTTAGATGACTCATGAACCAGTAACGACTCTTTAGATGACTCATTAACCAGTAACGACTCTTTAGATGACTCATTTACCAGTAACGACTCTTTAGATGACTCATTAACCAGTAACGACTCTTAAGATGACTCATTAATTAGTAACGACTCTTTAGATTACTCATGAACCAGTAACGACTCTTTAGATGACTCATGAACCAGTAACGACTCTTTAGATGACTCATTAACCAGTAACGACTCTTTAGATGACTCATTAACCAGTAACGACTCTTAAGATGACTCATTAACCAGTAACGACTCTTTAGATGACTCATTAACCAGTAACGACTCTTTAGATGACTCATTAACCAGTAACGACTCTTTAGATGACTCATTAACCAGTAACGACTCTCTAGATGACTCATTAATTAGTAACGACTCTTTAGATGACTCATGAACCAGTAACGATTCTTTAGATGACTCATGAACCAGTAACGATTCTTTAGATGACTCATTTACCAGTAACTACTCTTTAGATGACTCATTAACCAGTAACGACTCTTTAGATGACTCATTCACCAGTAACGACTCTTTAGATGACTCATTAACCAGTAACGACTCTTTAGATGACTCATTTACCAGTAACGACTCTTTAGATGACTCATTAACCAGTAACGACTCTTAAGATGACTCATTAATTAGTAACGACTCTTTAGATTACTCATGAACCAGTAACGACTCTTTAGATGACTCATTAACCAGTAACGACTCTTTAGATGACTCATTTACCAGTAACGACTCTTTAGATGACTCATGAACCAGTAACGACTCTTTAGATGACTCATTAACCAGTAACGACTCTTTAGATGACTCATTAACTAGTAACGACTCTTTAGATGACTCATTAACCAGTAACGACTCTTTAGATGACTCATTAACCAGTAACGACTCTTTAGATGACTCATTAACCAGTAACGACTCTTTAGATGACTCATTAACCAGTAACGACTCTCTAGATGACTCATTAATTAGTAACGACTCTTTAGATGACTCATGAACCAGTAACGATTCTTTAGATGACTCATGAACCAGTAACGATTCTTTAGATGACTCATTTACCAGTAACTACTCTTTAGATGACTCATTAACCAGTAACGACTCTTTAGATGACTCATTCACCAGTAACGACTCTTTAGATGACTCATTAACCAGTAACGACTCTTTAGATGACTCATTTACCAGTAACGACTCTTTAGATGACTCATTAACCAGTAACGACTCTTAAGATGACTCATTAATTAGTAACGACTCTTTAGATTACTCATGAACCAGTAACGACTCTTTAGATGACTCATTAACCAGTAACGACTCTTTAGATGACTCATTTACCAGTAACGACTCTTTAGATGACTCATGAACCAGTAACGACTCTTTAGATGACTCATTAACCAGTAACGACTCTTTAGATGACTCATTAACCAGTAACGACTCTTTAGATGACTCATGAACCAGTAACGACTCTTTAGATGACTCATTAATTAGTAACGACTCTTTAGATGACTCATGAACCAGTAACGATTGCTTGTCTCCCAGTGGACCCCGCTGGGTTTCCTCTACAGGAAGATGGACACCATGCTGGACATCAGCAGGGAGCGCTTCCAGGGCACGGTGCTCAAAGCTCTGTCCAAGGACCCTCGCAAGGACATCAAGTCGGCGCTGGTACGGAAAACGCTGAGGAATTTATACGTTCTGGTTCAATTCAATTCAAAACCTTTATTTATCCAGGTAAAATCCCATTGAGATCAATGATCTCTTTTTCAAGGGAGACCTGCAGCAGTAGGTTCCACAAGAAGACAATAAAACATAAACAACAGAACAACAAAAGGACATCATACAGCAAAATGTACAGGATTACAATTTACATATTTAACTACATGTACAGGTACCAACAGCATCTGATTGAGTAGCATCCAACCTTTAAAAACATGTAGTGGTACTAGCTTGGTAATTTTCCATTCTTTTTGCAGACTGTTCCAAGTTAGTGGAGCTGCACATCTAAAAGCTCTCTTCTGAAAGCTATGAAAGATGTCCTCATATCAGATGCTTGTCATGTTTCCTCCTGCAGTCACTGACAGGAAGCTGTGAAACTGTTATGTGATGATGATGATGATGATGATGATGATGATGATGATATTAAACCAGAAGAGCTGAGACTTAAAAGGGGGCGGGGCTTCATACACTGAAGTCATGTTTCTTGCAGGTCAAAGTTAAAGAGGAGAAACTGGATGAGGAGGAGCTGAAGAAGGAGGAGGAGGAGCCGAAGAAGGAGGAGGAGCCAAAGGAGGAGGAGGAGGAGCCAAAGAAGGAGGAGGAGCCGGAGAAGGAAGATGAAGAGGGGAAGCAGGATCTGAAAAAGGAAGAGGAGGTGATGAAGAGCGAGGCGGTGCAGCAGGGAGGAGCACTGATTGGCCGGCTAGTGACAACCATCAAGGACGAGCAGAAGCATCTTCCCTTCGGCCCGGAGGACATGATCAGCACGGCCACCATGCTGGACGGAGACAAGGTGAGAGGGGGAGGAGCTACCTGTGTTCCCCTTCAGGGTGGGGTGTAACTAGCAAACACTAGCCATTTAGCTAGCAAAACATTAGCCATTTAGCTAGTGACATTAGCCATTTAGCTATCGACATTAGCCATTCAGCTAGCAGACATTAGCCAATAACTAGCGACATTAGCCATTTAGCTAGAAAACAGTAGCCATTAACTAGCGACATTAGCCATTTAGCTAGCAAACAGTAGCCATTTAGCTAGCGACATTAGCCATTTAGCTAGCAAACATTAGCCATTTAGCTAGCGACATTAGCCATTTACCTAGCAAACATTAGCCATTTAGCTAGCAAACAGTAGCCATTTAGCTAGCAAACAGTAGCCATTTAGCTAGCAAACAGTAGCCAATTAGCTAGCAAACATTAGCCATTTAGCAAGCAAACATTAGCCATTTAGCTAGCAGACAGTAGCCATTTAGCTAGCAGACAGTAGCCATTTAGCTAGCAGACAGTAGCCATTTAGCTAGCAAACATTAGCCATTTAGCTAGCAAACATTAGCCATTTAGCTAGCAGACAGTAGCCATTTAGCTAGCAGACAGTAGCCATTTAGCTAGCAAACAGTAGCCATTTAGCTAGCAGACAGTAGCCATTTAGCTAGCAGACAGTAGCCATTTAGCTAGCAGACAGTAGCCATTTAGCTAGCAAACAGTAGCCATTTAGCTAGCAGACAGTAGCCATTTAGCTAGCAGACAGTAGTAGGAATCAAAATAAATTATGAAAATAGTTGTAATAAAATGGATGTGTGTTACAGCAGAGAAGGAGTGTGTTAGTCTGTATGTACAGAGTGTGTTAGTCTGTATGTACAGAGTGTGTTAGTCTGTATGTACAGAGTGTGTTAGTCTGTATGTACAGAGTGTGTTAGTCTGTATGTACAGAGTGTTAGTCTGTATGTACAGAGTGTGTTGGTCTGTATGTACAGAGTGTGTTAGTCTGTATTAGGGCTGCACGGTATTGAAAAAAACTGACATCGTGATTTTTTTTGTTCCCCTGCGGTATATATTGCGTTTTTTTTAACCTGTTAAGCCCCAAAGTCCCGGCGGGTACTTTTTTTTCACGACAGTGTCTCAGGGATCGTAATATTTAAGAACCTATTAATGTGTTATACCAGATTAACGGAAATAATCTCAGCTAACTGACGATACAAACCATTTTTACCAAAACAAAACACAAGTCTCATAAGAAGCATCTAAATGACCCCTGAGCGAAAAATGCTAACGCACCTTGGCACAGAACTCAAGATAAAAGTACTCTTATTACTTATCGTAGCTGCACATACAAGATATCCGATTAAAGCTGAGGTTCCACAGATTATTTAGGTATATAGTATCTTCACTGAGTGATCTGAACTCGGACAGGGGTAGCAAACACAGACATCACAACACGTACCTTTACGTAGCTTCTAGGGGAGATGTCTCACCGTAGCTGTCAATCTGATCAAAAGACGTGTTCAATGGCATTAAAACGAGAAAAAACGCGGCTGAATCGGTTAATCCATAGGTTTTTAACGTCTCTGTATAAAAAAATGATTTAATTTATAATCCATAATTCCATTTTTATGTAAATATCGCAGAGCAAAAGTTAGCTGCTAATGGTAGCCACCATAGTGGCTGCTGCTTCGGTCTTGGCTATGCGGAAGTCTCTCACACACACATTACTCTGACGGTCAGAAAGAGATGTCACATGTCAAAATCCAGCAAGGTGGGCCAGAGATAAGGAAAATCCACCCAAATGGCCCCAAAAGAGGGTTTTTTTGTGCTAAATCTGTCTAAAAAGGTCAAATATCAGGGGAAGTTCTACACACACCAACACATGAACAAATAAGGAGTGAGAGTGACGCGTAGCCAAAACCGGAAGCTGCATACCACCAAGGTGGCTACCATTAGCAGCTAACTTTTGTGCTCCGATTTTTACATAAAAATGGAATTATGGATTATAAACAATTGCTTCAAAGCCACAGATACATTATCAACCAATGGATCAACCGATTCAGCCGCGTTTATTCTCGTTGTAATGCCATTGAACACGTCTTTTGATCAGATTGACAGCTACGGTGAGACGATCTCCCGTAAAAGCTCCGTAAAAGGTACGTGTTGTGATGTCTGTGTTTGCTTCCCCTGTTGCGAGATCGGATCGCTTAGATACTATACTTAAATAATCTGTGGAGTCTCAGCTTTAATCGGATATATTGTATGTGCAGTTTCGATAAGTAATAAGGGTATCTTTATTTTGAATGCTGTGCTAAAGTGCGTTAGCATTTTTAAAAAAATGAATAAAACCGCACGTCCCTGCGGTGTGAATACCGCGCATGCGCATACCGCGGTTATCGCCATGACACGGTATATCGTTCAGCCCTAGTCTGTATGTACAGAGTGTGTTAGTCTGTATGTACAGAGTGTGTTAGTCTGTATTTACAGAGTGTTTTGGAGTTGTTGACGTGTTTGTTTCTCTGAAGGTGCGTTTCAACATCGCCACCCACCAGGAGACCAAAGAGCAGCGAGCGACGTACGTGGAGATCCTGCCCGACTCCTTCGAGGAGTCCACGGAGCAGCGGAGACACGTGAGGCCCTCCTACCTTTTATATATATATATGTCTATATATCTATAGATATAAGCAGCGGACAGGTGACGCACCATGCTTAGAACGTGATCAGTGCACAGGTGAAGCTGGTATCCGTCCCTTTGCCCACTGAGTCCCAGCTGAGATATTGACCCTCCCCCCCTCCTTCTGCAGGGCCTCGTCATCGAGCTCTCTCTGTCCACCGGCCTCATCAAATGCTCCCAGAATCCTCAGCTCTACTTCCACATGTGCGAGGTGATCGAGAAGAAGCGGCTGGAGCTCAACGAGAAGGTGGAGTTCAGCGTGGTCCCGGTGAGTTGCCTCCTTCAGCTCCTACTGACCTCTCTCTGAAGCTGAACCCTGTGTACCTCGCTCTCAAACCTCTCCTGTTGAATCTGTTTCTGTTCCCAAAGCACGAGACAGCGGAGGGGGGGCACCAGGCCATCCGGATCAAGCGCTTCACCGAGAAGGTTTTCCTCCCGACCCGGAAACTGTGCGCCATCGGCGTAGCGAAGGGAAAGGTGAGCGTCCCCTCAGAGGACGATCCGTAAGTTACGGTGTGAGCGTTCCTTCAGAGGACGATCCGTACGTTACGGTGTGAGTGTCCCCTCAGAGGACGATCCGTAGGTTACGGTGTGAGCGTCCCCTCAGAGGACGATCCGTACGTTACGGTGTGAGCGTCCCCTCAGAGGACGATCCGTAGGTTACGGTGTGAACGTCCCCTCAGAGGACGATCCGTACGTTACGGTGTGAGCGTTCCTTCAGAGGACGATCCGTACGTTACGGTGTGAGCGTCCCCTCAGAGGACGATCCGTACGTTACGGTGTGAGCGTTCCTTCAGAGGACGATCCGTACGTTACGGTGTGAGCGTCCCCTCAGAGGACAATCCGTAGGTTACGGTGTGAGCGTCCCCTCAGAGGACGATCCACATGTTACGGTGTGAGCGTCCCCTCAGAGGACGATCCGTACGTTACGGTGTGAGCGTTCCTTCAGAGGACGATCCGTACGTTACGGTGTGAGCGTCCCCTCAGAGGACGATCCACATGTTACGGTGTGAGCGTCCCCTCAGAGGACGATCCGTAGATTACGGTGTGAGCGTCCCCTCAGAGGACGATCCACATGTTACGGTGTGAGCGTCCCCTCAGAGGACGATCCACACGTTACGGTGTGAACGTCCCCTCAGACGACGATCCGTACGTTACGGACGGTGTGAGCGTCCCCTCAGAGGACGATCCGTACGTTACGGTGTGAGCGTCCCCTCAGAGGACGATCCGTACGTTACGGTGTGAACGTCCCCTCAGAGGACGATCCGTACGTTACGGTGTGAGCGTTCCTTCAGAGGACGATCCACACGTTACGGTGTGGAGCGTCCCCTCAGAGGACGATCCGTAGGTTACGGTGTGAGCGTCCCCTCAGAGGACGATCCGTAGGTTACGGTGTGAGCGTCCCCTCAGAGGACGATCCGTAGGTTACGGTGTGAGCGTCCCCTCAGAGGACGATCCACACGTTACGGTGTTGAGCGTCCCCTCAGAGGACGATCCACACGTTACGGTGTGGAGCGTCCCCTCAGAGGACGATCCACACGTTACGGTGTGAGTGTCCCCTCAGAGGACGATCCACACGTTACGGTGTGAGCGTCCCCTCAGAGGGCGATCCACACGTTACGGTGTGAGCGTCCCCTCAGAGGACGATCCACACGTTACGGTGTGAGCGTCCCCTCAGAGGACGATCCACACGTTACGGTGTGAGCGTCCCCTCAGAGGACGATCCACACGTTACGGTGTGAGCGTCCCCTCAGAGGACGATCCACACGTTACGGTGTGAGCGTCCCCTCAGAGGACGATCCACACGTTACGGTGTGAGCGTCCCCTCAGAGGACGATCCACACGTTACGGTGTGAGCGTCCCCTCAGAGGACAATCCGTAGGTTACGGTGTGGTCGTCCCCTCAGAGGACGATCCGTAAGTTACGTGTATGCATGAGGGGAATACCGCTAACTCTTCTGTTGATGTACTTCATTCATTCCTCCCTTCTTTCTAGACTCCTACAGAACTTTACAGAACTCTCACGAAGCACAAACTGATTTAAAGCACAACATAAATCTGGTTATTTACTTTATGATGTAACTCAAACTGTGTGTGACCAATGGGAAGCATTTGTTGATGGTGTTTTCTAAACTGATGTCTAATATTCTGTAGATGACCATCAAGCTGGCCAAAGCTTCAGAAGACGCTGAGTGAGTACTAACATGTTAAGCTGATTGAAGATGCCAGTAGAAAACGGCTATGTTGATGGTTTTCGAGAGTTTCTGTTCTGCTTTTTAAATTAAAACTGGAGCTGATTTTGATCTTCTTAAAGCCTTATTGGGTTGTCCCACGCTACACCTTAATACTACATTTCATGAAGTTCATCCTGTAATCCTGCTGACAGACAAAAGCATAATCTCATTGAAGGAGGTTAATTACTGCTCTACACATATTTAGTATATGAGATGTACAGGAATACACATCTGTCTGTAACTCACCTCTGATATTTCAGGAAAGATAAACCAGAGACGGACAAGATGAAAGCGGTGGTAAAAAACCTCCGAACGCAGGACAGCAAGACCAGGAAGGACTACGGTGCCTCGCGGCGAAGATACGGCAGGAGCAGGAGTAAAAGCAGGAGTCCAAGCAGGAGTCGGGCTAGAAGCAGGAGTAAAAGCAGGAGTCCAAGCAGGAGTCGGGCCAAGAGTCCAGCTAGGAGTAGGGCTAGGAGCAGGAGTAAAAGCAGGAGTCCCGGTAAGAGTCGGGCCAGAAGCAGGAGTCCGGTTAGGAGTAGGGCTAAGAGCAGGAGTAAAAGCAAGAGTCCGCTCAGAGTCCAGTTCGGACGACTCATCAAAAAGAGACGCAGCACCAGCGCCGAACGTAGAGGCAGCCGGTCGAGGAAAAGCCGGAGCCCGGATCGATCCAAACGATGCTCCAAGAGCCGGAGCAGGAGCCGTGAAAGGGTCGAGGAGGTGAAGAAGAGGAGCATCACCAGCAGAGATGAAGCTCTGAAGAGGAGGAGGGAACCGAGTCCTCCCCCCCGACGAGGAGGAGTGGTGGACGACGAGCTGGCGAGGAAGAAGCGAGAGCTGGATGAGCTGAACGACATGATCGCCTACAAGAAGTCTCTGGTGGACCTGGACCCCGGACAGAGGACCTGCATAGACTACGACCACGGCAGGATCTCCGTCCCGCTCTCAGAGTACAAACCGGTCCGGTCCATCCTGAAGAGACGAGGAGAGGGGCCTGAGTACCCACTCCGTGCTCCTCACCCATACGACGACCCGTACTACGACCGGAAGTACAGCGCTTATCGCTACGGGGAACCCTACCCTGCAGGTTCCTACCCCGAACGTCCGTACGCCGATCGTCCCAACAGTGACCCCCCTCGAGTCTATGGCGAACCAGCCTATGCTGGCCCTCCGTCTGCTGGCCCAAGCTACACCGACCGCTACGATGTTTACGACGAACCCCACGGAGACCGCTACTACGACCCGGCCTACGCAGAGCGGCGGTACGAGGATCCGTACCGGAGCCAGTCTCCAGAACGCCGAGATCCCTCACCTGGTACTCAGTACGGACACCTTCCTGCTGCCTCCACCCAGCCTCCCTTGACGCAAACCCCTTCCACTTCTTCTTCCCAACACCCTTACAGACCTCCTTCTCCCTCAGTTCCGCCTCCCAGAAGCCCCTCTCCAAGACCACGTCCGGGACCCGCCGCGGCCCAGCAGCCGCTGGACCGATTCCTCGACATGCTCAATAAGAAGGTGGATGTTGTGAAGCAACCAGAACCGGTTCCTTTGACCGATGACCTGCTGCCTCATGAGAGGGCGCTTCAGGACGGCGGGGGTTTCTCTCGGATCGTAGGACTTGCTCAAGAGCAACCTGGCACCAGTATAGCTCTGGATCAGAAGAAGACAAATCCAAAACGCTCCTCATTAGAGAGAACAAGTGAGGAAGTGAAGAACACTGCAGAACCCTACGACAAGATCCAGAGTCTGCTGCGTTCGATCGGCCTGAAGCTGAGCACCGGAGACATGTCCAAACTGGCCAGCCGAGCCCAGGAGAAGATCTACAGCCCCAGGTCCTCGTCCACAGAAAGAGACATGCTGTCGTCCCCGAGGGAGGAACGGCAGCCGAGTAGAACAGGTTCCATTGAATCGGATCACATTCACTCCCCCTGCCCAGCCAGGTCCTCCAGTCTGCAGCCTAGCAGCCAATCCAGAGCTGTCTCGGAGTACGAAGGGTTCCTGGACCAGAAGGAGCTGGAGGCTCTTCAGAAGGCCCAACAGCTGCAGACTCTTACCAAGACCATGGGGAACAACAACTCCCCCACTCCCCCTGCCGGGCCTCCGCCGACCCACTTCCAACGCCCCCCCCGTACCAGTCAACTGGCCCCTTGGGATCATCACCCAGTTTCCCCCACAGAGCTTCAACCCCCCCAGCATGGGAACTCCATCTCCTCCTGCAGTTGACATCCAGTCATTCAGGCTTCCCTCTGGACCTCCTCCACGGCATCCGGCACATCTTCCTCCAGGACCGCCTCCTGGACCTCCACCACGGCGCCCTCTCGGACAACCTCCATTCGCTCCACCCCCTGGTACTCCAGTCTTTCCCTTTATTGGCCAGCCTCCCTCAGACCCCCCCCTTATCTCCCCTGGTTCTGTGCCGCCCCCCACCGCCGCTGCAGAATCAGCACCAACGTCCAGTCCTGCTGATCCTAACCAGTCCACCATCTCTACCACGGTGGCCCGGTGCCTGAAGGTCATAGAGACTGTGAAATCTCTGGCCGTGCAGCAGCCAGCCAAGCCGGTCAAATCTGTGCAGTTTAGTTTACCGAGCGCTTCCTCGTCTCCGTCCAGCTCTCAGACCTCCACGGAGGACGACATAAAGAACAAGCAGAAGGAGAAGGTATGGTTCCTACTGTAGGACAGTCATATTGTGCCATGGTACGGCCAGTGGTCCAAGTGACCGGTAAGATTTAAATGTACCGGACAGTAGACCTCTATTTATTATTTAGCTTGAAAACAATTATTAAAGAAAGATTAAAGGCCGCTACACACCAACCTGAGACCAAAGAACGCGTACTGAAGGCGTCCCGACTTTTATGTCCGCTACGTCGCCTGCGTCGGCTACGCCGCCCGCCTACGAACACACCGCAAAGACTTCAGTTGACGAGTGACAATAACTGTCCTTACCAGCAAGCGGCGGTAGTGTGTATTCGTCATTCAAAAGAGGCAACAACCAGACTATACACGAGAGAAGAAGAACAGGCTGCGTGATATAAACAAATAGCGTCTGGGTTCCATTTTCACTCTCTCTCGTCGATCGAAAACATGTAAACATAAAAAAGAAACTCTTGCGTCCGGGTGAGATGAAAATGGAAAAGATTAGCCGTCTGTGCCTTCTTAATCGTTTGTTTTGGTCCCTCACTTCCGCTTCGCTTCTCATGCACTGACTCGCTAAGCTGAACAGCCAATCAGAGTGATTTATTTCCTCCCGCGGCCGATTCAACATGTTGAATCGGCCGCGGGAGGAAAGAAATCACTGAAAAAATGTGCCGTAAAGAGACGACGGTGCGGGACACACCAACCTGAGTAGGGCGCCGCGAATGCCCGACTGCCTCTGACTCCCAAAATCGGGTTGGTGTGTAGCGGCCTTTATAAAGACCTCATCATTTCATTTGTACCAAAGTGCTAGACTAGTCGTCTCATAACTGTCAGAGTTTGTCAGTATATCTGAAATGAGTAGGTTAGCTACGTTAGCTAGCTAGCTTACACCAGATCTGCAGTAACATCAGAAGGAGTCATGTGATCACTTTGTTAAAATAAGACCAGAGAACCTTTCAAGTGATTTTCCAACAACAGAGACAGTTCAGCTTTATAAGGAATATAATATATATAATCCTGAATGTCACCAAGCGTCCCAGCTGTATGCGTCACTCTTTAGTGTCCCCTGGCAAGACAACCGTGTTTCCGCGACATAAGCTACCACTCTAAAAGTTGTTTGTTTGTGTTGCAGCTGGATTCGTATAGCAAGAGGCTTTCGGAGAAGCGGGATCAGCACTACAAGGACTGGCTCGCCCACAAGAAAGAGTGCACAGAACAGCGGCTTCTTGGTCAGAAACGCAGAGTTATTGGTAAAATGTTAATAAGCTAACCTGGATCTAACTAAAGTGTACATAAGATTAGCAAGTCTTAGTTTACCCCTGTGTTAGAGACAGGTCTAATGTGATGTTTGCTCCTCAGTCCGGCTTGTCTTTCTGGTACCGTAGACTCCCCCGAGGGAGCCAGGGATTTAGCATTTCCTTTAGTCTTTTTGATAGAAGTCAATAACAGATTTTTTCTTGGAAATGGCTTTTCTTGTGTAAATTATTCCTAGCATCTCCCATGCTCTCCCTGTAGCACCACCAGAAGCCTCAACCCCGTCTATAAGTTACCTAGACCTTGTAGGGACTGTTACCAGGCGTGTTGGTGAAAGGTCCGTCCGGAAACTCTAGTCCTTAAAGGGGACCTATCATGCAAAATGCACTTTTGTACGTCTTTTATACATGAATATGTGTCCCCGGTGTTCCAGGGAACTCACCAAGTGGCAGAAAACACAACCCTCTCTATTTTCCTCCATTCCCAAATCTCTAAAAAAAGGGGCTGCAACGGATCTGATACAGACTGATCCAGATTTGAACACTTTACTGACGTCAGTAAAGTGGCGCTACGACTATTGGTCAACTCTCCACCTATCAGGGGAATGAGAGGTTGGGCCATGGCCGGCCATTGCCGCTCGAAAGCGCTGGAGACACTGTAGTACATATGCCAGGCCTGTAGGTGGCGCTGTAGTCTGCCACAAAAGCAGCGAAGAAGACTTCCCGCGCATGGTTGCCATGGTTGCCCTTCTGTTTATTCTCCGCTGTGGCTCTTTTTCTCCCTCCCCGAGGCAAGCGTTTGCGCCTCCTGCTTTAAAACAAATTAATAATGACTCTATATAATCATATGTAAGGGATAATGTGCAGCGACGCGGTCATTATGGGGAGAACAACACCGACAGGCTGATCAGGAGCCCGACGCGAAGCGGAGGGATCTAGATCGGCATGAAGGCACATTATCCCGCTTATTACATGGCCACATTCTCAACAAAGTCACGATATGACTCCCAATATTAATTGAAATGCTTTTATGGATTTAGAAAATGATTTTATTGATTTAAAAAAGTTGTATGTATTGATTTAAATTGACATGCAGCCGCTAAGAAAAGTAGTCCGTTGTTACTGTTTGAACTAACGTAGCAACGGCAGGAACTGCTTCGATAGCGTTTTTGAGGAGCTTTTTGATTACAGATTTTAAAACATCACTGCTTGCTTTAACAGTAGCACACTTCATGATGTCAGACCTTGGGAAGTATCTAGATATCCCTGCCCTAATGCCCTAATAAGGAACTGCACACTGAATATGTGTCGCCGTTTGATGTCTATGTCTGGACCGCTGCGTAAAAAGGAGGGTTTCTGCCCCAATACTTCTCTTCTTACTTCTATAAGAATAAAACACGGAGGACGGAGATCTCTTTTTCTCCCCCTCTTCCCCTCTTCTCCCCGCTGCAGCCCAGCAGCTGATCTCAGAGCATGCTCCCCTCTCCTGCAGGGGGGCGTGGTCAGCTACAGGGAGGCGTGGTCAGCTACAGGGGGGCGTGGTCAGCTGCAGGGGGTGTGGTCAGCTGCAGCTCACAGATTCAGCCCTTGCAAAAACAGGTCTGGAAAGAGTAAATCGAGTGAAATGAGGCATGGCTAAAATGCAGGATCTGTTTGGTGTTTTGAAAAAAAAACTATATTTATATACTTTATATAGGTATGGCCCTACAATATATTGTTCAAATATAGCATGATAGGTCACCTTTAAGTCAAATCCCCCCCGTACTGAGCAACTGGCGCTCCGATATCAGTCTGGATTCTGAAGCTCTACCAAATCGGCCTGCATCCAAACAGGAAGGAAGTGTTTGATTTGCTGCCTGGGCCGAATGTGACGTAAGGGAACACATATCCACGCCATGCGATGTCAATAAAATAAAAACCGCAAGAACGCAGGATGTGGCGCGAGAGAAGACCAACGCGGTAGCAGAGAAAAACAATTGCTGTGTTTCAGTTCTGATAAATACCGTTTACTATACACTATGTACCTACTTGCATATGGCTATGTCTTGAATCCCACTTTGCATTGAGCAGTTACTGTAGGTAGTGTCTGCTGCTATAGTTAGCTGCTGGTCCCTCAAGCCCACAGGAAGTGAGCCAGACGTTGATGCACATTTTGGTAGTGGACAAACAGGCCCAAATATACTTTTTCCATTGACTTACATCGGGGAAAGAGACGTCTGTAAATCAGCGGATAATCATTAGGGTGTAGAAGTTGTAACATGTGCTAAAAGTAGGGCTGCTCGATTCTGGCAAAAATCATAATCTCGATTATTTGGGTCAATAATTGTAATTGCGATTATTAAATGCGATTATTCATTGACTTTGAAAAGATCCATTTATTGGAGAAAGAAAATGTGAACATTATGCTTTTAACAGTTGATTACCCTGAACTTTATAATTCGACTGAAAAACCAAAAAAAAAAAAAATTATTTTTTAAAAAAAATTATCGTTTTATTTCGATTACGTTGTTTTCGTAATCGTTGCAAGCCATAACCGTAATCGCGATTTAAAATACGTTTAATTGAGCAGCCCTAGCTAGAAGCCAAATGAAATAGTTATTAACGACAAATGTCTTGCGCTCCTATTGGCTAGCGCTCCAACACATTGTACTTGATAGGCTAAGGGGCTGGACATCTGTAAGCAGTTGACCAATCACAGCCTCAGGGTCTAGAGGGTCCAAACACGAGATGATTCACAGATTTCAGAGAAGACGGTAACTGCAATTTCAAAGTTGTAAAATGTGCTAAAAGCTGAATCCAGAGTTAAGTCTAGCGTCCATTGAGCACCGTGGGTGTTCTCAAAGTAACCTGCAAACCATCCCAGTGTTAGATGTATTATGCATTCAAAACAGCCAGTGTATAAACGATGAGGGCAGATTGAGACACAGCAAACGGCCGTTCTCCACTCGGTAACCAGCGGTTCCTCCAACGATCAAGAGAAGAAGCCAACAGACTGCCATCCCAGCTCCACAAGTAACACCTGTTCCTCTCCACATATCACCAGGTATCTACATCCCAGTACAGTCAGATCATCAGAGGTTAAGTTAGAGATGTAATTATAAGTATTTTCGATATCTTTTGATACTCAACACTTAATTTAGCTAGCTCACAATGCTATAGCTAATGGATTTGTAAGCATTACTTCCAGGCCTCACCTGTCCTGGAGCTGTTGCTCACTGATCTGATTAAACGGCGGTTCCTTGCTGCTAGTGAGTTCAGTTTTCTAGATGTTTAATGTTGTATTATCTACAGAATCGTGCGCCACTCATCCACTGTAAAGGATATTGATTGTGCTTTGAGGCGAGACATAGTAAAGCTGTTCAGGGTAAGTCAAGTTTGCTCAGCTCTGTTTGCGTCAAAGTGAGGTTTTACCAGAAGATCCAGAAGGTCTACTGGTCCATGTTACAACGCCAATTATAACCTGAATATGAAGCTAGTATTTTAAATGTTAAAATGAGTTATTTGGATATCTGGATGTTTATTTACTGCATTGTTTTGAGCTCAAGTCCAGCCCTGTCCAAGGAATGGCTGATTCACTCACCATTATCCGGTAAGGTGTATCGGCTGTAAAGAGCTGCAGGAATGAGTCTGAACACCCGGAAAGGTTTTAGCATTTATCCTGAGATAAGGTCTGTGGTTAACACAAGCTGAAGAGATTTCAACGTTTTGTTCTTCCACCTAAAATCCGTCAGTAAATACCCCACTGGGGGATTTACTGACGGAGGTTGCTAACAAGTGTTGTCAGTTAGATTTCAGATTATTATATCTGCGACAGTAAATGCTTGTGTTGTTAAGAACATGCTAAATAATGTTAGGTAGCTTTGTGTCCAAGTTAGACTTGTGGTTGTGAAAGTTTAGCCCAAATAACAGCTAACGTCCTCATGTATTACCCTGACCTAGCTTGTCCAGGTTAGCTCAGGAAGCTAACGTAGAGCATTTAGCTCAGCTCATGGATATATAATGGTATGGTAATTACCCAATTATTCTTAAGGTTCTCTAGATGTTGCACCTCTTGTCTGAGCTACATTTATTTACTTTTCAATCAGTGTATGCTTAGTCTCATTAACTGTGAAGCAGTACCGTATGAACCCCCCTTTCCTTTCAGTGCGAGCCTCTACGTTAGCTCAGGAAGCTAATGTAGGGAGCTTTTGACATTTGAGGGTCAGCTGGATATCGTTAGCTTTGGCAATTTTGGGCACGACTTACTGGTAGTCTGTCAACAAACTGGTAAGTAACTCTATACGTAACATTATGGCTGTGAGTGAGTGGACGTCACAGAGCTCGGTCCACTTTGAATCAGTGTGCAGGTTTTATACATTCTGCATGTCCTTTATTGTTTTGGATGTACAGCAGCTGGTAGATATTTACTGCTGCAGGTACTTTAGATGGCCGCGCTGTCCCACAATGCACTGCGATTCCCATTTTATTTATCTGTGTTCATGTCTAGCCTTTCTGAAGCTAATGTTAGCTAACGTAGAGAGGATTTGTGGTCCCCGGTTGTTATGTGAGCGTTTGATGCTAAAACAAAGTGGACAGAGGCTTCGTCCCTGTTTGAAATATAAAACCTGAAATGTATAACAATGCTAGCAGCTGTTAGTGGTCCTGCTAGCCTCGAGGACTGTCATTCTTGCTTCTGTTTTAGTTGAGCTCTCTGACTCCATCACCCAAACGTCCGACACGCCGCTCACTTCTGCGCATTTCACCCCGAGTCGTCTTCTCGTTAACCTGCCGCTCAGGTGAAGGCGTGACGGAGCTCCAGCTAGCTCGTCCTGGCAGAGAACAGAAACCATTAACAACTTGTGTTATTACAATGTTAACTATGGAGGAGTTTCAAGTTAAATCCACATAATTATTTACTGCCATTAACGGCCTTCTTACAGTCGAGCCTTGTTATTGTTTTATTTTGAAAATCAAGTTATTTTATCCAGATTCACTTCCTTTTCCTTTCTGGAGGAGGTAGAGAAGAGTTCTTGATATGAAGCGTAACATTTTTATTCAGTGTTTTCTCATATGTATATGAACTGTAGCTAGGGACGTGATGTTCAGATGCTCAGCGGGTTTTATTTTGAAACTACTCAGAAGGTTTTGAAGCAGAAAGTGTTGTGTGTTGACGGTCAAGGTAGGTGATGATTTTCATCTTCTTTTAGCTTTTATAATATTCATTAATTGTGAAGTCACTCAAACATGACTGGAGTTTAAAGAGAGACGCGATCTGTAGGACGCTTCTCTCAACGCAGTAACCATTCACTTAGTTAATAAAGTGAGGATCGATCAGGTGAACCAGAAACATTGCTCTGTTATCATAGAGGTCCTGAGGCTGGGTTCACAGAGTCTCCACACCCCGGTCTTATTTTTAATCACAGCTATTCATTTCTGTGAACAAAACTAAATGAAATAGTTATTAAAGACAAATGTCTCGCGGTCCTATTGGCTAGCGCTCCAACACATTATAGGCTAAGGGGGCGGGACATCTGTATGCTGGTTGACCAATCAGAGCAGAGTAGGGATCT